TGATCGCTCCAAGGAAAATAGCTCTGCCAAAGTTACAAGAGATGGAGAAGGTCATGGATGGCCTAATTAAAGGAGGGATAGTCGAGAAATCAGATAGTCCCTGGTCAACTCCCGTCGTGTTAGTCCAGGAGAAGGATGGAACCCAACGTTGCTTAACAGTATAACCGAAAAGGACTCATACCCACTGCCAAGAATTGATGATACTCTTGATGCCCTAAGTGGATCCAGGTGGTTTTCAACTCTGGACTTAAAGTCAGGTTTCCATCAAGTAAAAATGGCTGAAGCAGATAAACCTAAGACTGCATTTAGTTATGGCCAAGGTCTCTGGCAATACTGTTTGATGCCATTTGGGCTTAGCAATGCTCCAGCAACATTTGAGAGGTTGATGGAAAGAGTACTGGATGGCCTACAATGGAGGACAGCCCTAGTGTACCTGGATGATGTCATTGTGTTTGCAGCAACATTTGATGAGGAAGTATCCTAGCTAGAGGAAGTATTCAAGAGTTTGAAAGCAGCAAACCTCAAACTCTATCCCAAGAAATGCCACTTGTTCCAGAAAGAGGTGCTTTACTTGGGTCACATTGTTAGTGAGCATGGTGTGCGAATTGATCCTAACAAGGTGAAAGCAGTGCATGATTGGCCAACACCAGACAATGTGGGAGAGTTAAGAATTTTCTTGGGACCCTGTACCTATTACCGGAAGTTTCTGAAGGACTTTGCAACTATAGCTGCTCCACTACATAATTTGACCAAAAAAGGCCAGAAGTTTGAATGGACAGTTTCTTGCCAGCATGCTTTCAAGACATTGAAAGAAAAATTGGCCTCTGCTCCACTTTTAAAGCTTCCAGATCCCTCACTGCCGTACATACTGGATTGTGATGCTAGTAATGTCGGAATTGGAGGAGTGTTGTCTCAGAGAGTGGGCAAAAACGAACATGTGGTGGCCTACTTCAGTAGGGTCCTGAGTAGAGCAGAGAGGAACTACTGTGTAACACAAAGGGAACTCCTTGCTATAGTAAAGAGTCTGACATATTTCCAGCTTTACGTCTATGGGGCTAGGTTTACCATCAGGTCAGACTATGCTGCATTATGCTGGTTAAGATCATTAAAGAACCCAGTTTGACATATTTCCATCTTTACGTCTATGGGGCTAGGTTTACCATCAGGACAGACTATGCTGCATTACGCTGGTTAAGATCATTAAAGAACCCAGTTTGACATATTTCCATCTTTACG